GCTTCCCAGAAAATTTATTATCCCTTTTGTTCACCTGAGCCTCTACATATCACTTCAAGTCACATTCTGCTCCAGCTTCCTTGAGACAATCCTGACCTAACCTGAAGATAGGAACTAGCTCCATGCTTGGGCAGCCAGTGCTACAAACAGATTTTTAAGGCTACCATCTCTCAGAACTGAAGTCTGTAGGAAATTTGGTCACAAATGCTACTTGTAAAGTAAAACTTCTCATCATTCAGCTCATCAGTATTCATTACTGGGAAGTATTGATTCCAGGCTAGCTTGCAGATTTTAGGATGACTGCAACCAGGTTTTGCAGCTGTAGTTCGTGTTCCTGCTAAAAGGAAAGTAAATACTCAAGTAATAAACAGTAGCTCTTTCTTCTGATAAAGAAAGACTTACCCAGCTGTTGATTCCTCTGAAAACACCAACCTATACACATAGAATGTTTAAAAAGGGCCAAAGATTGGGCTTTAGGGAGCAGGCATCAGAGGCACGAAGTGTTGCAGTAAACACCGTACTTAAGGCAGCAGTATTGCAAAGTAAAGACTCCCAGGAAGTCCACATCAGCAACAGTAGAAGGTAAAATCCAAGTCTTCTGGATATTCAGTTGACTTAGATGCTAGTTTGAGAGCTTCTTCCATAGCCAAAACACAAACTCATGTCACAAGCTGATGTGCTGAGTCTACGGCTTAGATCTCATCACCCTAGTTACAACCCACTGCATTTTCTTGGACAGTGCCAAACACTGCTTATGTTTCAGTACAGCCAAGTGTTGGCAACCTAAACACATGCACCAACACAGAACAATAAAACCAAGGGCAGCTGACAGCAGTTCACCCCAGCTCTTTCAGGTGCCAGGTTCAGTCTCATGCCCAGGTTTATACAGCTGACAAAAAAGCTATACATCAGTTCTGCAACAGCTCATGGACATGGTAGGTCTCAAATTCCCATATCAGATTAGATTTTTTTTCCCCTCCAGGCTCTTTCATACATCCAAGGAAGAAAATTAGATCAACTACCTTCTGGAGTCATTCCAGTCACTGTAAGACGCACAAAAGCATGATTACCATTTGACTTTTTCAAAATCCAGATTTTTTTTTAAGGCCTCATTAACATAGATTAGTGCAATGCATTAGAGGAGAGCTGTGCAGTTTGCATAACCCCTTAGACAAGTGACGATGTGTAACACAAAGGTGGGCAATACATTTGTGCATTAGTCCAAAGCTACGGCCAGAGCCTGACCCTCAACAATTCTTACAAGAGAAAGGTGGGAACAAGCAAGGTGTACTAAGATACATTTGTAGTACTTAGAGGACAAAGACCAGAAGCTCCTAGGAACACAGCTGAGATACTACTGTAGGGGAACACCAGATGCAGGTATAGAATATCAACTTGCTAGTAAGAATCCAAGTCCACAGGCAGCCCCCACCAGAAGATACTTTAGAATGAGAAGAAAAAAAAAGGACAGACATAAAAAGCCAATTAAAATACAAGTACAGGACAAATTGGTAGTTCTTTAGGCTAAGGGTTCCACATTAATATATCTGCTCCCTCCTATATCCATTGTTAAACTGAAACAGCATGGCCACAGCTCTAGCTGCTGCTGCAAGCAGCAACTGCAGGGCTGTGCAGTAACTTCTCATGAAACTTTGGTTTTTTCCACTTGGAAACCTGAGATTTGGCACACATGCCATAAGCCCTTAAGATTGTACTTCACTGGCTTTGGAGAAACAAAGCACAAAGCCAGCCACTGCGAAAAATCCTGAGCATACACTATGGGAATCTGCCTTGTCAAGGGACTGAGGCCATGTTAGATGCCAGGGGACAGGGTTATGTCAGCAGACAGGCTGATACAAGAATCAATCATGGTTGGAAAAGACCATTATGATCATCTAGTCCAACCGTAAACTTAGCATTGCCAAGAAAGCCCAGCTGGCTCCAGAGTAGAGCCCAGCCTGTCTGCATACCACTGCCTGTTTATCACCTGTATGCCAGTCTTCCTTTGCCACCCTGTATGAAGATTACAGTAAAGATGTTACAGCAGTAACATTTTAGGAAAGTAATTAAGAACTGCTTTTGTTCACAAAGGAAAGGAGGAATTACTATATCTTCTCTAACGTGCTCTGACCACAACTTCTCCATTCCTTGGAATTCTTTTCAAATATGGCATTAGCATAGGAGTTATTTCCTGCTTTATACTAAAGCTCTAGTGATTTACACTTAACATGTTATGCAAGTTCAACTCCATGCTATGCATCAAACAGTACAATTAATAAACATAGTAAAGTCTCCTCTCCCCTACAAACATACAATACATCTTACTCTTTATTAAGTATCAAATCGTCTCCAACATAAATTACATCCAAATTACATAAGTTTCAAGAAAGTCAGATATTTTATGTACAACATTTGTCTTGAGTCAGATATACCTTTATAATTTTAACCTGTAACATGAAAAGCAAACCTACATCAGTACCAAATAAAGCATTAAAAAGGTAACAAATATATAATTTTTTAGAAATGCTTTCAGAATGCTGAAGTTAATGACAAAGATTTTATAGTGCAGTAGTCTTGGGTTTTTAGCTCTTAGACCATTTCTCTGTTTTTGCGGATAGCACAGCAGAGAACCATACTGAATATCATGCCGAAAATCTGTAAAGAAAGCAAACACATTAGAAAACAGGAGATCAAAGCACATTCTTCTGTCAACACATGAACAAGCATAGCTGCTCTTCCTGGTCCAGAGGCCATATTAGCTCTACTCCTCCTCCCACATTTCAGATCATTCTCAAACCCCTTTACCCTCAATATTTCCAAATATATCAGCCACTGCCATATCTCCTAAGAAATCTTTGACCATCCCAGCATATCTGCATCCATGTCATACTTTTCTCCAGAAGTCAAATAAACAGTGCGAGTAATAAAATCTATTCTTGTTATTTCAGTTCTCCATCAGAGTCTTTAATTGTTACAAAAAACCCCCAAGTATCCACAAGAGATACTGGGATTAAGAAGTGGGCTGGCAACATGACCAATACATATTTGCCCTGTATACACACATACACTACCAATACACCTTCACTGCTGCTCAAATGACAAGGTGGCAGATTCTAATCCAAAGCAGAAGCAGGGAGGTCCAAGACACCCCACCCTCTGCGCTGCCTCAGGGCCCTGCAGCACACACCCTGATCCTGCCAGTACTTGCCACTAGTGCAATCGGCTTGTAGACTACCATGCCAGGCACTGTTCAACAGACATCTGCTATAAGTACCCTTTGGCCATACAGCTACCCTCTAAATAATCTAAAAACTTACCATTATAACAGCAATGCCAAGGCCAACTGCTCCAATCACATTCAATTTTGAATTGAAGACATCATCAATGGCAGCAGGGCATGACTGAAAAGAAACAGACTGTTCATTAGAGTTTCATACATACTAAAAGTTTGTTTCTGTTTGCTTGTTTGAGCTCACGTCTGCTGATTGATTCTACACCTTTGACCAAGTCTGCTTGCACTAGAGATTAATACTCATCATTTGAAAGCTGCTTTGAACTGGCCTTTATTTTCACACCTTTAAGAGCCAGGGATGTTCCAACAGAAGTTGAAAAAGTTTAAAACTACTCTTCAAGTATCTAAACCTCTTAACTGTACCTTGGCTACAGTAGGATTCCCTTCTCAACACCTGCAGTTGGTCAGGTAGATCAGGACCAACAGCAGTTGTACCAGACATAGCTTGTTACCAATGGCTGTCACCATTTAAGTTGCTGTATTGCTCAGCTCTTATCAAAACAGATTTTAAGCCACTCTTTATATTTCTAATTGCTATAGTAATTTTGCAGACACCTTATGAATACATGGTACATGGGAATGGCAAGATTTCTTGAGCTGCATGCAGGCTATGGGCAGATTCAGAGGCACTAGTTTGAAGCTCCAAGGACAATGAATTACCACTGCAACTAAAGAAAAATTTAAGTACAGTCCTTTCCCTGGCAAAGACAAATCGTAGCCAAGAAAAAGAACCAGGAACTTTTTACAGAGATATAAATCTTTAAGGGCCTGGTAGCTGGTCAAAGTCTCATCCTACCTCCTGTCCTACTTATTTCAGCAGCACAGCACAATGAGCTGCTGAAAACAAGTTTTTTCTTTAATTGTTCTTTATCTAGTCCAGTAGGAAAGACTGAGTCAAGGAATAAAGGGATATACTGGCAAGAATTAATCAGTTAAATCAGAATATCAATATAGCTCTACTTACAGATACACACAGATGAGCCACACCATTACATCCCTTTAATTTTGCAGTCTATCTACTGTTTGGCTTTTTGTGCCCTTTTTTCTTCCTACAGCTGTGACTAGGCCATGAACACATCAAAAGATAAAGACAACAGATGAAGCTAAAACACACTTAGCAAAATAAAAGCAAACAATAAAACCTGCATGCTGCCTCAGCTACTCCCATACAGTCTAACTCAGCAGATTGTATGGACAGGACTAAAGATACAGTCTAAATACATATTGAAATATCTCATGTGGTCAGATACTTGAAGGCACAAAATCATCTGGGGTAAAAGGAAGAGCACAAGTAAGATGAAAAAGATCAAATCATTAATTTAATTCTTGCACTGCAAGAACTTTATTTTCTATGAGAAAACCCATAAAGGTTCTCTCAAAGGATGATGCAAGAGCACAGGACAGTTTTAAGAACAACAGGAAAAGGGGTAATTAAGAACTATACAAGATGCCTCTCCTGCATCTGTGGCATACAGGCATCTTTGCAGCAATATTGCAACAGGGGAATCTGATTCGGAGAACCGGCTTCACAGTGACATACTAACCTGAACACACCCTCCTCTCCTTTCCCTTGCTAGAACTTCCAACCCATTCCACCCCATGCACTACTTCTCCCTAACCAAAATGGGATATGACACCTCCTGTGTAGCACCGGGAAGAGGCTCTGGAAATAGCAGCAGACAAGAGAACACAGCTCTTGAGCTATTCTTTTTCTTGCGTGAGGTTTCGGCCATACACGATCCATCATACCAGTGAGGTCAGTGACACACAAACTGCACACTTCCTGTGCAAGTTCAGATTTCCTGCATTCTTTCCACAGTAACAGTATGTTGATTTTCCACAACCAGACTGATTATAGAGATAGGTTGCTAAGTAAGTGTGATGCGTGGATTTCCCATGATCTGGAAGGGTTTATTCAGAAACATGTTTTTCCTTCTACTCATGGGGCAGAGCTGTTTGCTAATGAAGTCATGCTTTACCACAACAGAAAGCGACTCGAGCATGCTCTTCTTTGGACAGGTATCCATGAACTGCTGCTCAAGAACTCCTGTAAGACCACAGCAATCTAGCTACAAGAGAAAACAGGAAAAGAGAACCAGGTTAAATAATTCTTATTTTCACACTGTATTGGGTAAAAAGGAGAAATAGAGTACATTAGGCTTTATTACAGGCCTTATGCAAATTTGCTTAGAAATCTCGTTAATGTGACTGCTATAAATCTAATTTTTAAAAAGCCTTTATTACATTAAAGGACAGGATTCTGTAAGGAAGAGCTAGATCTCACCAAGTATATACACATTCATTTAGTGACAGCTTGTACTCCTTACAGGCACAAAGGTGAGCTCCTCATAGACATGCAGGTATGTATGCTATGGCACTTCTAGATCAGTGCCACAGATCTAGAGTTTCCCAGCTTGTGTCCGAGTTTTACAAAATGAAAAACTAGTTCTATGCATTTCAGAGGTTCAGAGGGACAAAAAAGCATACTGAATTCACCAGTACTATACAAAAATATCTTCTCTGCAAGTTGTTACTAATACTCCCTTGGTTTCTTCTAGTTAGTAAGGCACTAGAGTTGTACAGGGGACTGGATGACAAGGAGAACAGTGCAAACAAGCTTCATTACTGTCTAGTTTAAGCATAACCACATACTTACAGCTAACTGAAATGCTTTCAGGGTCTCTCTGGCAGCTGGTTGAGATCTCTTTCCATAGGTTTCCACGTAGAAGTCCTTTAACTCTTCAATAACCTACAAGGGAACAACGAGTTGTGGTATATTACTGTTTTACCTTAATATTAATTATGGAAAACTTGTTTTGAGTCAGTCATTGAAACTTCTGCAACCTACAATACCCATCCTTTTGACATGTAGAAACAGAGGGTGGAAACTGAGGGTGGACAGCATTTCTCAGCCAGAACAGGTGAGTCTCACTGGTACACTCAACTTGAAAGCCACACCTAAACAGATAAGATTCAGAGTTTCCCTTCCAAAGCTCTGAGCTTCTAGGCGGAGTGAGCAATCCAAGTCTTTTCCCATTGGTTACACAAAAATACTCCCTATTAATTTCTGCACCCCAGAAAATGCTATATTCCCTGTTGCATAATGCAAGCAGAAAAGCAACCCCAATCACCAAGCACCTCATTTTGAAATAACACAGAATCCTGGTCGCTTGTGAGGCGATAGCCCAGATCAGTCGTGTTTTAGATACAGAACCCTTCAGCCCCTAACTCACATCTAGAAATGTTAAAGATTCACTGATGGCTTGCTTCACTTCACAGCTCAGCCAGGTACTGCCTGGAAGGCATCTCTAGCGTGCAACAGCATCCTGGATTCTGGCTTCTCTGCTACAGTCTGATTTTTAAATATTAGAGTTTAATTTCTTGTATTGTTCTGCTAGAATGAGTCTGCTTCCTCTCCTCCAAATTCCCTGGGTAATTGAGATTTGACTCACACTGGTATAGTTTTCAGTAGACTAACTTTCTGTGGGCACAGTCACAGAATCATCCAATGCTTTGGGTTGGAAGGGAACTTCAAAGACCATCTAGTCCAATCCCTTGGGCAGGGACATCTTTCACCAGGTCAGGTTGCTTCAAGCCCCATCCAGTCTGACTATGAACACTTTCAGTGAGGGGGCTTCCACAGCTTCTCTGGGCAACCTGTTCCAGTATCTCACCACCCTGCTGACTTTTAAGAACAACCCACCTTTTCTTTATTTGCAAATCCCCAGATTGCAGCAGCAATTTCAAGGGCAAAAATCACAAAAAGGAACAGGAAGAACTAGAAAAGAAAGATCAAATAATAAATCAGTACAATAGCACCACAAAACAGCATTAGACATATAAGTGACCATTCTATGATTCCATGATACACTGCAAGCTTGTCTAGTCCCCAGCATTCAGACTTGTGGAAACTGTCACTCAACCAGTTTCCATCTGGATGTCTAACATGCTGGTAAGACCAGGAAAGACACCACACTGCACTGGGTCAGCACTTCTTCCCAGGAGTGGCAGAAAACCCAGCAGTGTTTTCTTAACAGAAGTCTTCCTTTTTGATCAGTGTTAATTAAAATCAATCATCTGTCAACTGTGACTTTGAAGTTGCCCAGGTCACTCAGACAGATTGCAACAGCTGACACCAATTCCTTTCTCTGGGTTGTCACCCCTGTTGCTTTAGGAGTCATTACTTAATACCCAGTTTGCCACCAACTCCCAGAGAGCTAATGGTCACTTTTGTTGTGTGTCCCATAAGACAAAAATAAAAGTGTCATCTGTGTTTAATTGACTACCAAGTCTAAAACACCACTACAATTTAAAGGCTCTTTAAAGAGAGAGGTTCAGAATTACAACAAAGGGCTAGACACAGCATTTTAGAAGAAATATATGAAATTAGCTTCTTTCATGACACAGAAGGGGAATTGTTCTATTACCAGCTACAGTAGTAGTCTTTTAATTAACTAAGTCTTCTGGTTATTTGGATGAGTAGTTCTACAAGTATACAGATGTGCATGAACCCAGTAAGCTCCACTGGCCCTTCCAGTCTGAAAACAATGAGGTTGCTCTCCAATAATTGGCTTGCAAAGCAGTTGTCATTTAGAAGAGCTAATCCTGTGATTATGAACAGTAGAGGCTTGTTTTTTCAAGGATCAAATACCACAGTTCTTGTCTCAAAGACTAAAGATTGCACAGACTTTGGAGCTCAGGACAAACTGTTTAATAAATAGCATTACTCTTGTCAACATTTTAGTTCTGTATTCACACATACTCATTGTTGCTTCGGTATCTGAATGTCACTCTTGAAGATACCCCATATTCAAATACAATATGGACATTTAGATTTAAGGCCAGAGTGGAAACCATATGTCATTATTTAACATTTTAGCATTATGTAGGTGACCATGAGTTTAAATGTGGTGGAGCCAAAACAATCAGCATCTGCTGCCCTTTAACTGCACAGTAATATTTCCCTTCCTTTCTCATCATGCTGCTAAAAATTTAAACACTACTCTGAACACTTACCAGGCCAAGCATACACTGAGATTCCTGCAATGCACCACAGCATCCCAAGAAACCAACCAGCATCATAAGTGCACCAGCTCCAATTAGGATGTAAACTCCTAGGGAGGAGAAGAAAAAAAAAAAAAAAAGACACATATACAGGCTAGTTGAGACCTCAGCAGCAAGGTAGAAAATTAGTTGCTCCACAAACAGCATTTTTAGCTTTTGTCAAGGTTTAAGTTTCTTTACTGAGGCACTCCAAGGAGAAAAAAAAAAAAGGGGCTGTGCTTAGTTTTCAAGGCAAACACATCTCAAAACTTGTGGGGAAATTCATTGAGAAATAAAAACTTCAGCTTGGAACAATTAATGTGTACCACTACTGCAGTTTCATAAGTTTTAGAAAACAGGCAAGATAAAGACATCTAAGTCAAACAGTAAGACACACTTTAAAACTGTCTCAGAGCAAGAGTTATCATCTTATCTTCAGAAGAGCATGTTGCAGCTAGAGACAGCTGGAACTAGTGATTTATCCACACATCAGAATTCTTGAAGCATGCTAGCTCTAGGAAAATGGGTATTAAAAGGCATCATAATAATCTCTCATAGGGTTTAAATGCATTCTTTCTCTGCTTTTCCATCAGGAAACATTGAATTATTCCACCAGTCATGGTGGTACAAGCCTACACCTCAACCACCTAACCTGACAGCCTCTCTAACTACAAGAAACTCAGTATTTTCTGCTTTTGCAAAAGCAGATACTTCTTCAAACCTTATCAAGCAGCTGAGCCTGTAGACCATTCTGCCCAGAATTTAGGTAGCAAGTGTGCTGGAGTGTAGAAGGCAAACACTTCTAGGTTAATTGATTCCATTTATGTCTGGTCCTCTCCTCCTAAGCTTGGAAACTGCCAGCTTAAGAATTACAGCTGCTAGCTGGTGAGAGCAGCAAGATGTAGCAAGCAAAACCACTCCTTAAGAACAGCAAGAAGTTATTATTTGGGTGGTGAAACATAAGACAGAATCAGCACAAAGCATGTAGAATTAACAGGACATTTCTATCAATATAGACAAAAATACAGTTCTGGCCTTCAGAGACCAAATCTATTTAAAGAATGCCATACGTGTGTGTTTGAAAATGATGTTTTCTAGATGCAAACCTGTAAGGTTAGCTGCCAAAATAAACACTTACTTGATTAAGCATCTGTAAGTGACCAAGCCTGACATTTCTTATCAGCTGGAAATTCCAGCACCAGTTTTTTTACCCCAGCTTGAACTTTTATCCATTTTGAAAGAGTCCATCATAACCTCTTATTTCAGTTTATTTTTAGTAGTACAGAAAACTTTTGAGGTAACATGCTTTGTTATTAGGTGCAAACTGACAGATCCTTTCAATTTCCTATCAGAAGCTGCAGTAACTACTCACAGAAAAATATATTAAAACTGTAATTCCTATTAAACACTTTTTTTAAAGCTCAGTTTAACCTACAGAGATTTCAAGTAGGTTTCACTGTTTTGCTGCATTCAGCCAGCAGCCTAAGTATCACATCATAAAACTTTTATATTTTAGGAGGTTGAAAAGTTGTTTTAGACTACCCAAAATAAGACTTGTTAAATATTCAGCTCAATGGCTAAGTTCAGATTTCTCTTCCTTTTTCAAGGTCCAGTTAAAAGCATGTGGAAGTCTTCATGGCAGCAGCAAGAACAACCCAGTTTGCTACCATGCCAGCATACCAAGGGTGAAATACAAGCTTTCTTGGAGATAAGCAGTCTGCATGCCTGTGGCCTCTTCATGATGTTGCACAAGCCTTTCAGTATTCCCAACTACAGTCTCTAAACAAGCCTAACTCATCATTCCTAACAGTACTACCTTCCAGCATGCCTTAGTCTTTACTGACCCTTTAGACATCAGTATGGATGTTGTGGCAGATTGAGTAGCTCAGCAGAAGAGCCACTTTCCTTTGCAAGACCACACTGTGGATGGCTAATGAGCAACACCATATAGGATATGGCAAATCCAGGTGATACAGGGATATAAAATATTGTATATAAGCATTGTCCAAATAAAAGATGACAGACAGGTATGCAAGAAAGGTACATACTAGAATTTGCTTTGTTCCCAATTGTTAGAAGTCTTCAAAATCCCCTACTTTGTTTCAAAAAGTTTGAGCACCTATAGGTGACAACTGAAGAAGCATGTGTTCCTCTGCCAAAGCTTAAAAGTGGCTGTAGAGATCAGAATCTTATAGTTAGGATAAAATCTGATTCCATTAGGAACTCCTAAGACATTATAGTAGCAAACCAAAACCATGTGTGTTTACTCCCTAACTGGTAATCAAGCTGTCCCAGGCTTTGCCTGTGGAAAGCCCAGACTAAAATCCTGTAAGACCAGGAAATATCAATGGATAACTCCCACTTCATCTAACTAAAGCTAGATTGATTTAGCTTGTCTGTAATAGTTGCTCATACAGACCACAATACTTGTGCATCCTTTCCATTATATATATATATGTATATAATATATACATATATATAATATATA